GGGTGACTGCCTGGAGGCCACAGCAACAGAGCAGTAAGCTCTGCTGAGAAAAGCTCACAGACCAGCCCACGTTTCCTCCTATCTGGGCTTGACTCCATCAAAACATTCTGTCTAGCTTGGTGCACCCCCTTAAATGTTTCATTTCAATCACCCTGGAAACATTTTAAAAAAAAGGCCCCGAGACAGAAGAGCGAGGCTTATTTGTGACTATAGGATCATCAGCTCTCCCCAGCTGCTGGGGCAGAAGTCACAGCCCCTGACCCCTTCATCACACACCTGCCACGTTCTGTGTGAACACGTCAAACTCACAAGCTTGCCTGATTAATCACTCGCCCAGGAATCTATGGGACAAAGTTCACATTACCCCTCGAGCTGCACGAAGGACCCACGAGGTCAGGATGCAAGACCAAACAAAGTTACCGTGCCAGCCACATCCATCATCCTGTAATCTGCTTCCAGTCCTATAATCCCCCAAATCCAGACCGTGCATACCAAGGACATTCCTCTGCCACACAGATCAAAACGGGCCGTGTGCACAGGCCTCCCAGCCCTCCCCACCTCCAGGAAAATCATTAACCATTTCTACAAGTCACACAGCCCTCGGTCTGCAGACAGCTGCTCAAATCAAGTCTCTAAGGACCTAGAAGTTTTAATAATTCTGTCATAAACGTTTCTTCACGCATCATAAAAATAAAATTTAATTTGACCTAAGAATAAAGAATACATTGTTAACTCCCCAATACATATGAACTTGTTTAAATCATGTAAAGGATACAGCTATTATTGCACTAAACTGTTTCACAATGAGTTCAAGAGAACTATTTCCAAAAAAATGAACTGGTAAAATTAGATGCACTCAAATTATAAGCTATATGCTGTATTTTATATTACCATGGGATTACTTCTCACTTCAATTTCAGAAAATATAATGAATATCTCAGGGGAAGTATTCCCATACATTTCACTCAGAAGAAAAGCAGGTTCAGAGATACCATGTGGGGGACTTGAGGTCACACAGCCAGTGCCGGGGCTGGGCTGAGAGAAGCCCACGTCTCACTTCTGTTTTCCTCTCATTGATATTATTTTCAAGATTTTACCCGAAAAACATTCTAATTCTCTCAAGACCTTACCATAAAGATTTCACCACAAAGTTATTTTATGCTATAAATCCCCTAATTCAAGTACTTCACAAAGATTCGCATCATCGTCATGTGAACACTATCAGTGAATTTGTTCATTTCAAAGCATGCATTCTCAGACTCCTACCAGAAAAAGAAGTCGGATGCCCAGGATAATTTATATTCTGTCCACGTACACTCCTGTTGTCAGGGGAGTTTTAGTTATTGAGAAACCTATGTGAGTTAGGAGTAAGGATTAAATAGAATGGGGACAGTGTTCTTACCTTTTAGAAATTCAGACATTAGGCTCAGGCCTGCAGACTAACAGTGTCCGCACTGACCGTTCAAGAGTGACACCAAAATACACATTAATCTTAGGAACATCAGGAGTGATTACTAAGTAAAAAGGGGGGGAAATATTACTGTGGTTTAGTGGTAAGGAGGGTTTCAAGTGGCAAGACTCTGATTCATCAAACAATAACCAAACGAGTACTACAAAAGAATTCTGCTTATATTATTATTTCATTTAGTCCGTACACCCGCCTTCTGAGGTTTTCTATACCCACTGCTGACAATGCAGCTAGGGCTGGGTAAAGGGCGTGCTGAAACCACAGACAGTCAGGTGACGAAGCTGAGAGCTGTAGCCATCCCAAAACAGACAACCAGCACTCAGGAATCTGAAACATGTCAGCATTCCCATCCCTCCTCAGAAGCCAACGTGTTGAGCCTTTTGTACCACTCTTGTAATATGAAAATGTGATATTATTTCAAAATAAAAAAAGTTAACCTGTGATCATCCATTGCCTCTAGCAGGAAAACAGAGAACGGTTTCCACTAAGGGGCAAGGAGGTGATAAAGTTGGGGTGCCATGGAGGCAGATTCCCACTCTGACGGGTTCTGGGGGAAGGTGGAGGGGAGAGTACTGTGTGGTCATGATCCAGACGTCTTTCGGTCAACAGAACCCNGTGCCATGGAGGCAGATTCCCACTCTGACGGGTTCTGGGGGAAGGTGGAGGGGAGAGTACTGTGTGGTCATGATCCAGACGTCTTTTGGTCAACAGAACCCACGTCAGTACCTCCTCTGTACTGCATACGGGCAATTCGAGGTGACTAAGCGAGGGGCCCGCCCTCCTGGCTCAGCCTGTGAGGGGAGATGGAGATCAGAACAAGCGATACAATACTATACACTCGCACGGCGCTGTGTGAGCACTGGGACTGACCCCTGGGAGAGTTAGGGAACACTTCCTGGGGGAAGTGACATTTGCTTTGGGGTCTCAAAGAATGAGGAGTTTTCCTGGCAGAGGAGAAGGGTCATCCAGGCAGACCCTATTTCCAAAGGCTTAGAGGTTAGAGAGATCTCGGTGTGTCCTATAAATGGAAGGCAGTTGTCTGTGGCCACTGCCTGGGTATGATGGCACT